GACGATCTCCTGCAGAAGACTCCGAGATGATTCGGTCTGGACAATGGTTCGCCAGTCGGAAATCAACTGTCCATAGATTTTTTCAATTTTGTTTTCAGTATCTGAAGTAAACAAAGCAGTAACCATAGTAATGAGTTCGCTTGGCAAAACTCAGCAGTGATGCCGTTTTATATAATATTGTTTGTGTCATACTTGTCAACGTGTGTCGTACGTGCAAAAAATGTGCCGTGCTGTGTTTCGGAACAGTGTGCAGAGTTGATTACCCCTTGACTTTCTGTCTTATTCGGATCATCCCCGGGGGGTTCATTTTGGCGATACGTGAGTTTAATTTAATAATTGCAAGACTAATAAGATAGAGGTAACTCTAAGACCAGAAGGTTGCGAAGAAACGTGCTCAACTTTTTGGCTCAGCTCTAAGGGACCAGTAGGCTAGTAAATAATCTTATCATGTGTGTCCAAAGCTTCACAATTATCCCGATGAACAAGCTCAACTTTTTGGCTCAGCTCTGGTACTATCTTCGGTCCCAAGCTAATCGATGCACCCCTCGAAACATAGGTAAATCCACGAACCCCTCATTTTATCTGTCAAACTTTCATAGCGAATCAAAACAAACATAGTGTAGTACTGAAATTTATACTAGAATGGAGTACGTTACTCGATTTGCTTGGGACCAATAGGCTAGTCAAGTAGTGAGCCAATTTAAAATCGTTAGTTTCTTATTAATTGTTGGTTCAATTGCCGGTCCGGTCTAGGTATTTTTCGGGTTGAAAGATTTCTCGACTTTCCGACTATGATTATACCTGCCGCACAATTATACTCATGCAAAAATTGTACTGACTTAGATAGCTCCCAATTATTAGCCTTTGCGTTCATGATGTATTTTGCTGTCATAGAATTTGTTGCTCATATTTGGCACTAGTTTTCTCAATATTATACCGATTCAAACCAAACACCCTACACATAATCGAGAAATTTTATAATTTAATAAGTCATACTTCTTGGTCACGTCGGATTAACGGTTTGGTTTTACATGGAAATTCCTTTCCAATGGTCATGTGCGACATTTTCATATTTTTTTTGATGTCTTATAAAGCTTGGGTCATTTAAAATCTGGACGCACTGTTTATTTTACTGCAGTGCTCCGTTGGATCTAAAAAGTTTTGACAGGAGTTTTTTTTTAAATGTTTCCTCTTTCAGTGCTGAAAAGTTCGTCACGATTCATTTTCATTAAAAGAAGTTATACTTGATGGAAGCCGCGAACCGAAAATTAATTTTGGACAGCCACTTGGAAAATCCGACGTGGTCAGGTTCAAAAATCGCGAAGTCGTTTAAATTGGCTATATCGACCTTGTGCAGAGTTCTAAAACGTGTGATCAATCGGCAGGATCATAGCAAGCGTCGTAGTGGAACTAAGGATTGGAAGCTGCATTTGAAGGTGTTGAGAACGGTTAGGGCAAACCCAGGGCTGTCGGATTATTATATGAGCCAAGAAATTCAATGCCAGCCAAAGCACCGTCAGAAGGATTAATCAGCGAGAAGGATTTCGATCTTTTCGGGCCTGTAACAACCAAACAGGACACTGAAGCAGAATCTTGTGGCCAGAAGACGTGCCTGGATGTTGTACAATGAGGTTCTTACAAAGTACGCAGGATGCATCCTCATGGACGACGAAAAGTACGTGGGCAGCTTCCCGGACAAAAGTTCTATTTGGCCACTGGTCGACTTGATGTTCCTAGCAAGTTCAAATTCGTTTTTGCCGATAAATTCACAAGAAAGCTTATGATCTGGCAAGGTATTTGTAGCTGCGGACAAAAAATCCAGGTTTTCGTGACAAACAAGACTATGGATTCCAAAATGTACAAGCAGGTGCCCTAATAAAAAATAACCATAAACGAACGATAACCCAAATAATTGAACTTTTCCACTAATGGTTTGGAAGATACCCAGAACACGTCGTTAAGCAAAATAACCATAACAATTTTATTAGGGTGTGCCTGAAAAAACGAATATTCCATTGAATATTCTCTCATCATATGAGGTTGATTAGGAATACTTTCGAACTATCAAAAATTATATCGAAGACCTTGGACTAATAAAAAAATTGAAATCGAGTTCTCCATATATTTCTTTATCATATAAAAAAAATCCATGGTTTGTTTCCGTCGATTTTCTTTTGCGTACTGAGTACCAATGCTACCGGCACCAGGGAAATAGTTTCCACACCTGGACCCTACATATCGGCCCATCAACTCATGGACTGGGGACCAACGGTTTAACTTCCCTTCCGAAGGAAGGCGTGATAAGAAATTTTATTCCTCAGAAAACCCCGGTGGTGCCTACTTGGATTGAACCCAGGCCTTTTGGGAATCACGCTTACCACTACACCACCAGCGCCCCTTTTATAACAAATATATCAGTAATTCTTCTGAAGATCTTCAGTCAATAAGAACGTATTTTCATAATATAGTGTTGATCAGGGATCATGTCGAAGATCTGTTATCGGTCAGAAATTGAAATAAAATCCTTTGAATATTCGAAGTTTTGCTACATTCTATCTGACCGACGATCATCATAATAATTACTGATCACTTTGATATGATGAGCGAATATATAGAGAATCGATTTCAATTTCCTGTAAGTCGTAAGTCTTCGATATAAATTCTGATAAATTGGAGGAATTACTGATCAACCTCATATGGGACGATAATATTCAAAAGATTGAATTTCAATTTAAGATCATTTGAAAGACTTCGACTAACCATCTTTATATTTTGAAAATACATTCTAACTGACCGAAGATCTTCGGAAGATGACTTGATATGAGAAGCGAATATATGGAGAACACAATATAAATTTTTCTATGGACCTGTAAAGTTTGGCCTGATTACTTGGGTGCGAATCATGCCCGATCTATTGCAATTAATACCAGATGTTCTAGGTTCTGCAAATTGTCCTGGAGCAAAGAGAGGATTGTGTATTTGCTCTTTTGTCTATGCTTTGTTTCCACCGTCGCTAAAGCGCAGCGCTTGTGTTCTGGAAAAGTTATCAATCTTCTTTATATGATGTCTTCGGCTATATTATGTTTATCCTCAGAAGATTTATGCAAATTCAAAACAAAAAATTCTGTATGAATTTCCAAAGCAGTTTTGGGACCACCTTCTACCAGAGATTTTGTGAAAATTAAGCAAATTGCTGATAGCTTTAGGGACAGCATAAATAAGGCCTTATTTTCTGGAGGAGGATTTGTTTTCTGTCGATCTTGTTTTTCGTACTGAGTACCAATGCTACCGAAGCCGGGGGCAGCTCTCACACCTGGACCCTACCTATCGACCCATCAACTCATGAACCGGGGACCAACGGCTTTACTTCCCTTCCGAAGGAAGGCGTGATCAGAGATGTTATGCCTTAGAACATCCCGGTGGCGCCGACTGGGATTGAACCCAGGCCTGCTGGGATGAGAGGTAATCACGCTTACCACTACATGGAGAGTCACCTCACCCGAGGTGACAATTGTCACTTCACCATCACTTCACTGCCACCTCACCTCACACGCTGCGCAAAATAGGCCTACATATAAACAACGATGGTTTTGTTTATGTTTGGAACCTAAGAGGAAGAGGTGACAATTGGCTTCTTCCTCTTTTATTTCTATCTCTATCTCTATCTTTATCTATCTCTATCTCTATCTTACGCACATGAAATCGACCAATCAGGAAGTGGTTCGCGTTTGACAGAAAAGTGGTTTTTTTTCGCCCCCGTATTGTCACCTCTTCTCTTAGTTTGGAACCAATTTCACTTATGGATAATCATTAAGCGTAAACAGGTGAGGCCCAGTGAATTTGTCGTCTCTTCTCCGGCTGATTAAATCAGCCCAGTGGCAGGCGCATAGGCAACATGTTATACCGTGACAGCGTGCCCAGCACAGCAAAATAAACGATTTGAGCCCGGGACATGCTGCCTGCTGTCAAACGCTGCTGTTAGTATAGGTTTTGTCACTGGCCTGGATTAAATGGATGACGGAGTTTGACGTCACACTCCTTCAACCGTTTAAACAGCGGGAGAACGAAAGAGTAGAGTAGAGTTTCAGTAGACCAATTTGACAGCACATCCCGCCCCTGAGAGAAAGCTAATCAATGTGGAAGTGCTTCAAGAGCATTAACTTGAGCTCGCGTGTGAGCGTCAAAGCCAGGATTAGAATTACAGCCCCATGGTCACCACAGATTTTTAGATTTGTATTTAGGTTCCCAACAACTGTGCCAAATTTGAACGAATTTAGTTGCGATTTTATTTGCAGACGAATTTTAAAGGAAAATGTATGGGAAACGGAAAATAGTAATTATATGCTTGTCAAAAATTCACACATTGCTTAATTTCAACTTAGTCGAAGATCGAATCGTTTAAAGGTCTTCGATAACGTTGTTCTGCATATTTTATCCAATCAAATTTCTGGAATGGGCAATATTGAGCAATTTGTGTGATACTTACTAACTTTAAAATTATTCCGCAATTCCAAATCGCATCCGAATTCGTTCAAATTTGGAGCAGTTGTTGGGGACACCAACATTTACAAATCAAAAACAACAGTGATTTATACATTGTTTGGACAGCACCTTTGACTGAGAAAAAATGGGACGGAATGAGCTGAATGAGGTCGTTGGGATTTTCTGAGGCTTTTTCAGATCACGCCTCATTTCGGAAGGAAAGCAAATCTATTGGAAAATAAAACGATTGAATACGTAAGTTAGTGAGAGATAGAGAGAGAGAGACATTTCACCATAATCCATTGATCCATTGGTCAAAATTCGAAGAAAAATAAAAATTCTAGCCTAGGTGACCCAGTATCATAAAAGTCAACAAGTTAAGAATGTGCTCGACGATCAAGTAAACGGGATCCAAATTTATGATGTAATAACAAAAAAACCGGTGGATCAGCGTATTTAGGAAGAGTAAAATTAATAAGGAAATTTCTTCACATAACCAATTAAAAACAAAACCATTATTTTGAGAAAAATATACTTTCTAACACAATAACTTAAGCTAACCTAATGAAATCTTAACTAAAGTTTATCTGCACTCATTGCTCTCTTATACCATAAAGATTTAGTCTACTTATCATCGATACCGTAGAAAAAAAAAAACTTTACTAATCAGTTCCTACCTTAACAATTTGAAAGCTATTCAAAACCAATGTTAAAACAAAGATGAAACCAAACGAAAAACTATCAGTCTACATTTTTTCGCATGACGTTCATAAAATTAGTGAGGACACAATGTTTGAGAAGTTAATCAATAAAATTTAACGCAGTTTTGGTACTCCATACAGGCCAAGTCTCGAGTTTGTTCCATCACTCTCATGTTCGACAGTGGATTTTGGGATTTGGTTTCGTTTCAAAAGGATGCAAATAATTACTCAATGCTCGATGCTTTTTAGGTTAGAACGTTAAATAAAAAATTAAAAAAAAAAGTTTACGAAACTTAAAACACGAAAGATAAAATTGAGCTTATGTACGACAGTTTCACCAAACGCCTCGTTCCCGAGTGCCACACTAAGTCAGTTGACGTCCGGAGTATGTGTAAAAGAAAAAAAAAAACAAATAAAACATGGATCTAGCTGTCCAGAGCTAGCATTTCCATACTCCAGCGCCAACCCTAGTGCAACCACTCGAGGAAGTTGTACCGCACGATCAAGGGGAACACCATGGAAAACAAAATACCGCTAAAGATACCGGTAATGAGCATAGCTGCGGCAAACATTCCCGCCGTAACCGCATGCTGGGATTCAACAGTCTGTGGAGTGTACATCATTCCCAGGGAACTGAGATAACCGGAACTGTACGCCATCACGGCGGCAATTCCCCAGTAAACCCAGTCGTTATCGATGTAGATCGGAAGCACCCGTTCAATTCCCAGTGGACGATAGTTGCAGAACAGGAACAATGGCAAAAAGGCTGCTCGAATAATCACTGGCCAGACTAGGTGCTTGGGCTTGGGCCAGGTCACCCAGGACGTTGTCAAGCTACCCAACATAGCAAACAGGTTGAATGTGAGGAAGCACGTGACACTCACGTAGAGATCGTCTCCAATGACAAAGTCACTGTCGGAGCGCTTAATATCCGAATGCACAGCCGGGAATATGGACAGCGTGACGAAGAACACGAAGAATACGTTGAAAAGCTGCGGGAAAGCTTGCTTGAAGATCTTCCAGTAAGGTGGCCGACCGTCCACGTTAATACCGGCTCGTTTGTGGTTTTCGGCTTCCTTCTCTTTGAGCATCTCATGATACCGGTAGAATTTCTGAAAATAAATAATTCTCTTAGTAACCGTACACTAAATCCTTTCCAGGAGACCGGAAGTCATGAAGGTTAGTGGTCTCAGGTCCCAAAGGTTGTTAAACTTACATTCAACGGCAAAGCGAAATAGGTGTCGAAGCAGAGCAACAGCACGAACATTGCCGTGATGAAGTAGTAAATGGCTGCCGTTCGAACCGAGGAAGCAAACTGCGAACTGAGGATTGCAATGATCGATGCAAAGGTACCGCTGATGTTGGATCCCAGCACGACTGCACCGGTGTACTTGAACGGTAACTTGGCGACCATACCGTATACCGTGTTCTGGTAGATGCCACTGGCCACTGTTTGTTAATGAGGAGGTAACTTTAGAACTCAAGAAATGCTACTCATTTTGATTCAAACTTACTGTTCAGGATTACAACGGTGATCATCGTAATCCAGAAGAAGGCTCCTGGCCACTCGGAAGAATCGATCATGGCTAGCACCACCGTTACCACGAATACAATCACCTCGATGAGGATGCTGTAGACGATGCGTTTCGTCAGGTTGCCGCTGAAAGGAAAAAAAAAGTTTTTTTTTAACTATTTCATTTATTTAGTTGAATTCCATAAATGAATTATATAGGTTAAGTAATCGTCTAGCGATATCGGGGAGGTTTTTTAGAAGGTCGAATTTAATCATATCGCTTCCCGGAGCAGAGTTTTTAAGCGCTTCGGCAAGCCTAAGCGTCTGTTCTCCAGGAGGAGCGGCTCACAACAGCGTCTGTTCCCCATGTTAGGGGCGGCTGATCCACGTCTGAGTGCCAGTGAAGGACTCTACGCACAAATGTGCACCCTGGTCCTCCGGAAAGTTAGGGGGTACCTGTCAGGCCCTGCGAGCCAGCCGTAAAAAAAAGCATTGCAACGGAAAATCAGCAACAGAGGAATACGAACCGAGACCAACGGCAACGACCCCAGCGACGAAATAGGACTTGCGATTGGAAACTCGGCACGTGGAACTGTCGATCTCTCAATTTCATCGGGAGAACCCGTATACTCGCCAATCTACTGAAGGACCGCGGATTCGGCATCGTAGCGCTGCAGGAGGTGTGTTGGACAGGTTCCATGGTGCGAACGTTTAGAGGTTATGATACCATCTACCAGAGTTGCGGCAACACACGCGAGTAGCTTTCATCGTGATGGGCGAAATGCAGAAGCGCGTGATCGGTTGGTGGCCGATCGACGGAAGAATGTGCAGGTTGAAGATCAAGGGCCGATTCTTCAACTTAAGCATAATCAACGTGCACAACCCTCACTTCGGAAGCACTGATGATGACAAGGACGCATTTTACGCGAAGCTCGACCGCGAGTACGATCGCTGCCCAAGCCACGACGTCAAGATCATCATAGGAGACCTAAACGCTCAGGTAGGCCACGAGGAGGAATTCAGACCGACGATTGGAATGTTCAGTGCCCACCAGCTGACGAACGGGAACGGCGTACGACTCATCGATTTCGCCGCCTCCAAGAACATGGCCATACGTAGCACACCTGGAGATCACCACAGCAGACGGAATCGCAAATCGACCACGTTCTGATTGATCGACGGCACTTCTCCGACATTATCGACGTCAGGACCTATCGTGGTGCTAACATCGACTCTGACCACTACCTGGTGATGGTCAAACTGCGCCCAAAACTTTCCGTCATCAACAATGTACGGTACCGACGCCCGCCACGGTACAACCTAGAGCGACTGAAGCAACCGGATGTCGCCTTAGCATACGCGCAGAATTTCGAGGCAGCGTTGCCAGAGGAGGGCGAGCTCGATGTGCCCCCTCTAGAGGACTGCTGGAGTACAGTAAAAGCAGCCATCACCGACGCAGGCGAGGGCACCATCGGGTACGTGGAAAGAAGTCGACGGAATGAATGGTTCGACGAGGAGTGCAGAGCGATTTTGGAGGAGAAGAACGCAGCGCGGGCGGTAATGCTGCAGCATGGAACCCGACAGAACGTGGAACGGTATAAACAGAAGCGGAAACAGCAGACCCACATCTTTCGGGAGAAAAAACGCCGCCTGGAAGAAGCGGAGTGCGAGGAAATGGAACTGCTGTGCCGTTCCCAACCGGATGATAGTCAGGATCTGGGAAACAGAACAGCTACCGGAGGAGTGGAAGGAGGGGATAATCTGCCCCATTCACAAGAAAGGCGACCATTTGGAATGTTAAAACTTCAGAGCGATCACCATTTTGAATGCCACCTACAAATTGCTATCGCAGATCATCTTCCGTCGTCTATCACCTAAAATGACCGAGTTCGTGGGAAGTTATCAAGCCGGCTTCATCGACGGCCGATCGACAACGCACCAGATCTTCGCCGTACGGCAAATCCTCCAGAAATGCTGTAAATACTAGGTCCCAACGCATCATTTGTTCATCGACTTTAAGGCGGCATGCGACAGTATCGACCGCACAGAGCTATGGAAAATCATGGACGAGAACGGCTTTCCTGGGAAGCTGATCAGACTGATCAAAGCAACGATGGACGGTGTACAAAACTGCGTAAGGGTTTCGGGTGAACTATCCAGTTCATTCGAATCTCGCCGGGGACTACGACAAGGTGACGGACTCTCATGCCTACTCTTCAACATCGCTCTAGAAGGTGTAATGCGATGAGCCGGGCTACAAGCCGGGGTACGGTTTTCACGAAAGCCGGTCAATTTGTGTGCTTTGCGGACGACATGGACATTATCACAAGAACATTTGGAACGGTGGCAGAACTATACACCCGCTTGAAACACGAAGCAGCAAAGTTCGGACTGGTGGTGAGTACGTCAAAAACAAAGTACATGGTAGTAGGCGGAACCGAACATGACAGGATTCCTTTAGGAAGTAATGTCACGATAGACGGGGATACTTTCGAGGTAGTTTACCGTGGATCCTTACTGACGGCTGACAACATCAATGGAAGTCGTGCCTACTACGGGCCCCAGAAGAAACTACGGTTAAAAAAGATTCACCTCCGCACCAAATGTACCATGTACAGAACGTTAATAAGACCAGTGGTCCTCTATGGACACGAGACATGGGTTATGCTCGAGCAGGACCTGCAAGTACTCGGAGTTTTCGAGCTCGCTGCACTTACGGCGAACCCAGCATCCAAAAGGTGGCTAAAGCCGGCAGGATGCGGTGGGCAGGGCATGTTGTAAGAATGCCGGACAACAACCCTGCAAAGTTGGTGTTCGCTACTGATCCGGTTGGCACAAGAAGGCGTGGAGCGCAGAGAGCACGATGGGCGAACCAGGAAGAGCGTGATCTAGCGAGCATTGGGTATGACCGAGGATGGAGAGTGGCAGTCGCTAACCGAGTATTGTGGCGTACTATTGTTGATTATGTCTTATCTTAAATGTGATGTTGTACAAATAAATGTATGTATGTGTATGGAAGGATATTAACTGAACGGACTGATTTTATTACGGACATCAGTCAGGAAAAACCTTTAGATGTGGAAGGATGCCATGCCGAATTTGTACAAGATGACCCAAATTGTGTTGGCTATTTTTGTAAGCTCGGCAGCTGCGGGACGAAGCTTTTCAGCGATGCGTCGAATCAAGACGTGGCTTTGTTCTACGATGGGGTAAGATCGATACTCTACGCTTGCTTTGCTTCACATTGAATCATCATTACTCAAGGACACAAATTTCTCGCAAAACACAAACTCCGCTGTAACAACCCTGAGATTTTTTGATAATAATCAAATTTCAGAGATTTTTTTTCAGAATATGATTATTAAAATTAAAGAAAGAAAACACACGCACACACAAAACATACATCGAATGATGTTTTTCCAAGTCGACCAGTTAGAAAGTGTAAATAGTTTATGCTATTTTCATTTACACCTCGTTGAAACGTTTCTTGGAATTGAACCCACTCCTAGTTGCACTGATTATTATATTCATAGTTTTATCACTTTTCAAACATATTTTATACACACACTTTCAAAATGTTACAAACTCTATACTTACCCAAGGTTCATAAAGATGTTCAACCAATTAAAAAGCAAATTGGGGATCTGTGACGCAAATCCAACGTAAGAAAGAAAGTAGGTTCCATACTCGGATTCCACACCAGTATAGTTTTGACTAAGCTTATAATCTACAAAGTACTGTAATAAACAAAACAGAAAAGAACATCATTAAACAGTTACATATTTGCATATCTAGCGCGACCACTGAAACTTACCGATTTGGCAGTGATGAACATATTCCAAGGCATCAGCGTACCCACGCCATGGATCATAAGCGTAAGGAAAACGAGCAGTAGCTTGTCCCGCGGTGGATTCAGCTCCATCTTGGCCCGTTCCATGGTCATCCCTGGAAGAAAACCGAGCCGTATTAGCAGATAGTAGGCGGTGAAAATCATTTTCGCTGCTGAGGCACGGTTGTCGAACGAAATTCAACTGATTCTAATATGGCGATCTTGCCACGAGGAGTGCACTTTTCGGAATGAAGAATTCAACGTCACACGCAAAAGCAACCGAACAGAAGATGCGACTTCTGCCCGGCCCTTTGCCAAGGGACTCTTGTGTATTAACCACTAGCCAAAGAAGTTGACCGTTGCAGGTAAAGGTGAGCTCAATAACGTGGAGCTATGGTGCGGAAAGGATGCGCCACCCGCGGGGGGAACCTCCAATTATGTGTACGATGGCATGTTTTCTCGGTAGGAGATAAAAATGGGGGTACACTCAAAAATGATTTAATACGTAAATTTGAAACTTTGTAAAAACAAAAAAATCAATGATCAATCATAGATTTTTTTTAAAAGGACGTTTTAAAGAAATTTATTATTTTTTTTACATTATTTCTATTAACGGTGTAATTTATGGAAGGAATCTAAATGTAAACCCGATCATGTTTTTTACCACAATGCCTCCAAGAAGAAATTGACTCAAAGAGAGTAGAATTCCAATTTATGAGCCTTTTGTCGTACATCCAGGAGCAATGCAATAAGTAGGAATAGGTTTATTTGCGTTTGCTGGACTTTAGTCCCTCCCGTTTATCGATTGAAGACATAAATATTTACAGCGTACACAGCATTCCAGTTGCGTATTGATAGTATTCCCTAACATGACATGTTAGAACGCTATTTCCTGCTTCGTCAAATTTATCATCACTGGTATGCATAACATAACGATGGATTCCTCAGCAAGAGGTTTTCCTATGAATAGCAAGTGTTGCATACTCCAACACAGAACGCAGAAATATGCATGCTGCGCTAAAACTGATACTCATGTTATCAAACCACTCGAGTAAAAAAAAAATGATGCATGGTGCATCTTCTTGCAACTCCACAGGAAAAGACGATAATAACTCAGGGGCTGTCCATATACCACGTAGACAGCTTTTGAGCGATTTTAGACCCCCTTAGAATACCACTCATATAAATTTTCAAAAAAATGTATGGACCGTGGACATTTGCCAATTCCCCTCCCCGCTCTAAACTGTCCACGTGGTACATGGACAGCTCCTCACTTGACCGTAGGCATATAAACAGATTTGTTGTGTGCAGGGTTGAAAAAATCATGAAAAAATCAGCAGCATTCACTATGAAATGAATTTTTCATCCATAGTGAACTTTGATGAATTTTAGTGATTTTTTCAGCCCTGGTTGTGTGTACCTAATCCTTTTTGATTCGCACACTGTTGGGTATTTTACTTTCTGCACCGCCTCCGTGGTTTGGTCGTCGTCTTGCTGCGAGAAAATTCCTGGAAATGCATCCACGAAATCGAAATAAATTTAGCGAAATTCCACGTTCCTGCTGAGAAAGAAAAGGAACCCAAAATTTGAAGTGGGTATCAGGCGGCGAAGTGGCACGGGATGAAATATCGGAGATGACGACGCGACGCAGCGAACACGTTGCCAAGTAAAACTGCAAAGCTTGTCAATGAGGTACCTGCGACCAGTAGGCTTTGCTCATGTGTTCAAGGTCCAAATACGGTTTGGGGCACTTGTTTGTTCTTAGCTTCATTGTTTCTCAAACATTGCCAGTACGGCTTATATGAAGTGTTGAATTAAATTAAATATTAAGAAAGCAGTGTTATTCAACTCCGTGGCCAGGAAGGCAGAACTTTTGTATCGTGATTTATTGCGCATTTTGCACCACAGTAGCACCACCGACAAACCGACATGAAACTAAAACTTAACTCTTGATCGAGAATCCACAACGGCGGATTCAAATGTGCAGCGATCCCATCTGTCAAAACCATAGAAATTTGTTATCTAGATAAAAATAATTTGCCCAGAATAGATTAGACACGAACCAACTCATACATTTAGTATGTGTGTTCGTGGCTAGGATACACATTTTTCGCAAACACGGCGGCAGATGTCAGTTTTGTGCTATGATCAGAAATTTGATGATATTTTGTATGATCATTCATGTCGGTTTGTCGGTGGTAGGACACCTGCGCTAAAAATAACCCACAAACATATTTTCGCTCATACTATTGCGCATTTTGCACCATAGTAGACTCCTGTACTGAAAATAATCCCTCAGACTTTGACGTAGGATTACCACCGACAAACCGACATTAATGATCATACAAATTACAAAGAAATTTCTGATCAAAGCACAAAACTGACATCTGCCGCCGTATTCGCCGAAAATATTTATCCTAGCCACGAACACGCGTATAAAATTTATGAGTTGGTTCGTGTCTAATCTATTTCGGACAAATTATTTTTATCTAGATAAAATTCTTCTATGGTTTTGACAGATGGAATCGCTGCACATTTGAATCGGCCACATTTCAAAAAACCAAAATCGTCGCTAAAACACTACCGTTATCTGTTGAGTACACAACAGATGGCGATAGTGTATAAACGTCATACGCGATACAATTGACTAACGCGTCACAGGTGGTAGTACCATAGAGGTAACTCTAAGACCACTGGGTCCCGAAGAAAATCATTATTATTTTTGACTCACTCAGTACCAGAACAACGGTCCCAAGCAGTCCCAAGCTATTTCACTCACCCCTGCATGTTCTGCATGAATCCACACACCCCTGATGTTATCTGTCAAACTTTCATAGCGAATCAAAACAAACATAGTGTAGTAATAGAATTTCAACTAGAATAGGGTACGTTAATCGTTTGCTTGGGACCAATAGGCTACTAAAGTGGTGAGCCAATTTAAAATCGTTAGTTTCGTATTGATTGTTGGTAGTACCAACTTGGTCCCAAGCAAATCGATCAACGTACCCCATTATGGTCAAAATTCTAGTACTACACAATGTTTGTTTTGATTCGCTATGAATGTTTGACAGATAAAATGAGGGGTTCGTGGATTTTTCTATGTTTCGAGGGGTGCATCGATTAGCTTGGGACACCGAAGAGAGTACCAGAGCTGAGCCAAAAAGTTGAATACGTTTCTTCGGAACCTACTAGTCTTAGAGTTACCTCTATGGTCTGTGATAAATCTGAAAAATATGTTTTATAGGAAGCAACCCTGCTGAAACATGATCCGTAAAGCTGTGTCAGAAATTGAAAGTAATAATGATATAATCTTCTTCTTTCTTTTTTTCATGACAAACGGCCTTTGAACATAGCTCACTCGGGTCGATACAGTACTTGTTCGCTAACTGGGCGTTCTTTAACTGCAGGGCTGGTAGTGATCAATACTGTCAAAAATAGTGATTTTTGTGGCCATGTTGAAGAAATAAGTGACCAAATAGTGACTTATAGTTGTAAAAAAGTGACTAAAATGTGACCTAAGGGTAGAAAATTTGTCGAAAAACCGGGAATTCTCAGGGAATTTTATTTTTCCTAAAAATACCTGGAAGTCTCAGGGAGTCTTATCATTATTCAGGAAATTTAATAATTTTCTTACTAAGAATGCATTTTAAAATAAAAACATTTAATATTCCTAGTTATTTTCATTCACACATTGAACTTTATGGATCCAAAATGGATTAATCTTCAGTAACAAATACATTTTTAAAATCCAGAGTCTTCAAATGATTTTGGTTTGGTTCTAGAATTTGCATATTTCCCACAAATTTTATAAATTCTTAGCTAAAAAGTTATAATTCTTCAAGAAATTTTCAAGAATTTTCAAATTTTTAGCACAGTTTTAAGGCTCATGGAATTTTATTATAATTTCTAAGGACCTCATTCTACGGGAGTTTTGGGAAAAAAAAATCAGTGAGAAAAACTTCAACTGCAATCTACTTTCGTGGTAGTTCTGAGGAACTTTAGACTTCATTTGAAGCCTAAACCTAAGATAGTAAACTCCAAAGCGAATTCTTATAAGAAATCTCCGTTGAATATAGAATGGACTATTCTGAGGTCTTCAGAACTACGTGAAAGTTCCCAAAATATTCCTGAAGTTAATTAAATTGTCTTGAAGTTCGCGCAATACTTCTCATATTTTTTATAACTTCTGTAAAGTTTCCACAATTTTCCTAACGATCATGAATCTTCTCTTAACTGTTAAAAATTCACTGAATTTCTCGAAACTTTTTTAAAATTTATGTAATGTCCCTGTTCTTGAATATTTCTGCTCTGAGTATATCTGTTCTTTCTTGAAGTTTTTGTTTGTTTAGAGCTTTATTAGCGAGATCAATATCTTTCTCGAAGTTCTCAAAACTGATCTTAAGTGTTTGCAGTTCTCATGAAGCTTGTTGTACTACCATGAATTTAATTGAACTGCTCTAAAAATGTTTAAGCTTTACGTGAACTTCTGGACTTATGTGAAAACGTCAATAATTTACTTAAAATCTCTAACGTTCTCTGAAAATCTGGGAACATCTTGAAATTTCCTGCTAATTTAGTGAAACTAATGGAACTGAGCTCCTCTGAAGTTCCCTTTGTTTTTGGAGCTCCCGAAATGTCCATAATAGTTCCTGAAGTTCTCAGATCTTCCCTCAAGTTCCATAGACTTTTATGAAGTTCTCGAAATGTTTCTGAAAATCTCTGTACTTCTGCGAAGTTTTCGAAGATATTCTGAAATTTCAGGAACTTCTCAAAGCTTCCGCAGCTAAATAATAAATATAGTTCTATGATTTTCGCTGAAGTTCTCATGATTTGTCTGAAGTTCAAATTTTCGAAACTAATTCATAACTTCTTCAATAGTCTAAAGTTTCCTGATATTTTAAAACTGCCCAAAGTATTTCTCAATTTCCTTAAAATTCTCTAGACTGCCCTGATTATATTTGTATTTTTCAAAAGAACCCACCATTCTACTGGAATTGATTAAATTGCCTTTAAGTTCTACAATTTTCCTTAAGTTTTATAAAATTTATAAACGCTTACGGAACTTTGCCTTAAAACACTAATTTTCCCATAAGTTTTCTATGCTTACCATAATTTC